TTATTTTGGAGAAATCGATTGCGATTCGAATCGATTTAAAAACTGATATTTTTCGAAAAGAATCGCCATCCCTACACTGGTGCTCATTCCACGTGTGTTAATGAGCGGGGCAAGAAGAAATATAACAATTCGGGAATCCTGACAAAGTTAATGTAAAAAGGATTAGGTTACTCAGCACAGCTGTAGTAAAAAGACAAAGAAATGAAAAACATTTTTATTATTTATTCAAAAATAACTACTTTAAACAGTATTTAATTTATATAAACATCAAACAATTAACCTTATAAAAATTTGTTTTCTTAAAAATAGTTTCAATATTTTATAGACTAAAATAAATAAGACACCAGGACTTAAAAATAGACATAACACTAGTACTCTCAATGCAGTTCATTGAACGAATTAATTTATACATAAATTAATGACATTATGATAGGTAAACAACAACTTAAACAAGCACATTTGACCTCCCCATCGAAACAAAGTCGTAACTCAAAGTTTGATCTACTTTGAATTTAGTCACAGGCGTATTCTACAGAATAAGCCGAACACAGCAATTCTCAATAGATTTGCTAATTTTAATAGACGAGTGCTGCATAGTGTCTGTGATGCCAACTTTAATACGTTTTTATGACAAGATTGACAGATATATTTTTAAAACGATACTTTTATATGTTGAAACTATCCCTCATAATTAAAAATTTTAACTTTTTCTCAATTTTTGGTTGAGGTTTAGTGCGATAATCAATTGCATTTTTTCGAAGAGTTATAAGATACATTGATGAGACACATGTGAAAATATAAAGACAACAATAACAGGAAAACACCAGAAAATATTTTTGTTTTAAAGAAAAATCGATAAGCAAAACCAAATAAAGCAAGAGTAAGACGTTGAACTTTGAGAAATCGGAATCAAAAAACACTGTTTCTTCTTGTACATTGTACATAATAAATAGATCTGTTTTTATATAATTATTTCAGGAAAAACAATAATTGTGGTTTTAAGTAAACAGTGTTGCCAACTTAAGCTAGTCCATTTAGTCCATTTACAGGGTCTATGTCGCAACCCACTTAGACACCAGACCTGATTCGGCGTTTACTTTTTTGACATTGATAATTTGAATATTCAACCAATCAATTAAATGGAATATCGCACCAAACCTATTCCAACAAAAAATAAAGACAAGTTAAAATGTTTAAATCCAACCCAAAGGCCACACATACAACATCCACAACAGCAGCAGCCAAATACCTATGAATAGGCAACTAATAACAACAGATATCAACACAATCTAGTATAGATAACATTAACAAATTTCTGAAATAATTCAAAAGCATATTCATACAACTAAACAGCATGGTTTTAAACATGCTTACAATGCTTATAAGCAAAATTCAATAGGTTTCTTAAAATTGCAGGGTGAAATGCCAATGGCCAACACAAAAACGAAGTCAAACTGTTTCTACATCACAACAAAATAGATATCTTATTAATAGGTGGAGGTCACTTCACATACAGATCGTACTTCAGAATAATTTTGCAAACCATCCAGATAACAATACTCATGCTTACACATGTGGAATTGCCAAAGTATGTCTTAAAATAGCTGTAAGCTAGTAATAAAAGTAAAGATGAGTTCATATAAACTAACTGTAACATCAGTTGACTGCCCACCTTGATATAAGTTAAAGAAAGGAGATTTCTTTAAGTCCTTGGCCCAAAAATTCATTGCTGGTGGAACTTCAACTGTAAACACATTCTATATGGATCACGTCAGAAAACAGCCAAAGGCAGATGATAAGTAAGCCTTCTCAAGAAAATAACTGCAATTTTCTGTCAACTGGAACTTCTGCATACTGGCTAACGGGTCCAAATAAAACTCTTGACCTTCTGGACTTATTTATCACTACTGGAATATCTCCTAACTAGATTACGATTATGATCACTCGCCCACAATATGAATAATCAGCACGTGTATTATCCACAGAAAACAACCCCTAGGCTGTACGACAAGAACACTAAATAGAAACGTATCAAACTAACAGAGAAGGAAATCAATTGGCAAGCATCAAATCTTACTACACCAGTAACAACCACAGGGAGCAAAGTATACAACGTCCCAGTGAAAATCAAGAAAATTATATCACAAAAAAGAAAAGCAAGACCAAAATGGCACCGAACCCATGTTCCAGCAAATAAAACGACATTAAATAGAATAACTAAAATTCAAAATCAAAGAAGCACAGGAAAGATAATTTTCAGACTACATAAGTAACTTAAATCGATATGAAAACCAATAAAAAATCCAAGAAACCAAAAACTCAAGTTCCTCTCATTCGTAACGAACTATGACCAAACCCACAATGGGTCAGAAGCGACGAAGAAAAAAAAAACAAAATTATTTGCTAAAGTATTTATAACAATGAACATATTGAGATAGAAAGAGAGCTAGCCAATATTCCACTAAATATACCAGTCATCAAACAGCTAATCACAAACAAATACAGCAAGAGATTAGTTACTTGGACACAAGGAAAGCATATGAAATAGATTGAACCCCAAAATTAATAAAGGAACTACCCCGCAAAGGTGTCGTCCTTATCACATTTATGTTTAATGCTGTATTACGTCCAAATTATTGGACAAAACTGTTTAAAACTGCTGAAATAAGGCAATGATCCTAATAAAGTTACTTCACACGGACCTATAAGTCTCTTAGCAATTATATCTAAAATACTTGAGAAACTATTTCTGCAAAGAATAAATTCTGACCCAGAAACAGAATGAATACCTCTTCATCAATTTGATTTCCAGAAAGAACACTTACAAGTTCACAGACTAGCTCACAGCATAAATCTGGCCCAGAAGGCAAATAATATTGCACATCTGCTTTTTTAGATGTTACCCAAGTCTTTGATAAGGTTTGTTATATGGGATTAAACTACAAAATCAAGAAACATCTTCCCATAACTTACTTTAAACTGTGGAGAATTTCGAACAAAAGTGAATGAAAGTATACCCAATAAAAACAGGTGTTCCACAAGGTAGTGTTCCTGGACCTTTACTGTACTGCATACAGTGGATCAACTAACAAATAACGAAACTGTCATGGGAACATTTGTCAATGACAGTTCTACTTGCAAGCCATGAAAAGCGAGTATTGATACGACGCACCTTAATGTTATGGGACTTAATTCGGCCAATGAGGACACCCGACCAAACCAAGGCCGGCCAGCCGAGCCAAGTCAGTTCATGTCAGCTACTGTTGTGTTATGACGTTTGACAATTATTTTACTATTAAAATTTCATTCTGCTTTTTCCTTAAAATATCTTATTATGTTCGCCCTAAAATCACAATTCGCAATCTGTGGCAGTTATTTGGTTACAATGAGCGATAATCGCGATAATATTGAAATAAGTTAACTTGCATAATTAATTTTGTTCCTATATAAACCTATGTTATTAACAGAATAATCTACCAAAAAACTGGAAAAACGAGGTGGTCAGTAGAATTTTCTATGGAAAGGTTTTTAAAAAACTTGAAATAACTAAAAGTTGCACTTTTTACTAAAGAAGAAATACAATTGTGGGTACGTTCTCTAGAAGAACAGACGGCTTGCATTTATTCAGTAAATAGAACTAAAATTTGTTTCTGAATTGTCAACATAACACAAGATGTGACAGGACATGACCCATGTGTCAAGAACCGTACAAAAAATATGAATTGTCCATCTGGTTTAAATATCACGTTGAAAGCAGTAAATAAAAATTTAGAGGAAAACCTGAAAATGCTGCAGATCCAGAAATGCCTTGTATAATTGTATATATAGCTACGCATAACCACAACATCTTTTCTGCAGATGCTTACAGATTTCAACGTATTTATGAGAAAACTAGAGACAAATAAATAGATTTATTTTAATTAGGACATTCACCTGCTAGTGCCCTTAAAACAATAAAAATTGAAATAAAACTGTCCACCGATAGTTATGAAAAGCTTTTAGGTTTATACTATTATGTTATATTTATCTATTTTCTATTGCATTATTTGCATCATAAAGATACATAATCTATATTATTTTAGCTGATCGCAACATCTGCCCGGACTATAATTACTGGTACCACATACTCATGCAAGAATTTAAAACCCGTTATGGACTCATTGATTTCGATGATGATGGAAAAAGGTTTCTAGTTGAAAAATTGAAAAGAGTACAATAATACTGTAGGTGAAGAATGTGCGAAAATAAACATCACAGACGTAGATTATATCATAACGTAACGTAAATATTTGTTCCACTGATACTGATATATCTTATCTAATACGTTACAATAGGAACAAGAACGATTGCAACTGCATGTCATTACTTTTGTTCACTTATATTACCTATTTATGAAATATAAACCTTATGAATGAATTTAGGAACTATTAAGAATATAATAATTATGAAAATGGGATCTGTATCGTCATTGAATGATAAATAATTTAGTAAAATCACAATTTTGTGTTTATCCTACAGCACCATCTTTCGATAAATGATCGAACTTTCAATAATAACTTGTTGGTCGTTTTGAAAAATCTGTAAAATATTACTGAATATTCCAATGTTCGAACGAATAATTATGAATGGCGAGGTCAGAAACGAAAAAATAACAGTCATAGTTTGGTAACAACTTTAATAACAGTTGTTACCTGCTACTTTTTAATATCAGTGAAAAAGTAACAGTTCGTGAGTTATCGCTCATCACTAATTATGACAAACAGATACATTTAAACACAGTTAGCTTATTATGCATCACTCTCTGGCGACCGATACTGAATACAGACGTCACATGATCAGACAATGGAGACTGATTACGCACAGAAACACAAACACCAGTATTGGATAGCCAAGGTAGCCGATATAAATAGAATGTAAACGAACTATTGGTCATCATCATAATCATCATCAACTTGATCTTACCATTTTAGGCACTTTTTAGATTGGTACATAACACAAATTTACAATTTCATCGTTGGTTCTACATTGATTCGTCCTCTTTCTTTATCTAACATACACACAACACCTTCCATTCGGTCTCCAACTTGTAAATTAATCGATTTCAATTTACTAGAATGAATTAAAGCGTCTTTTCCCATCCCTATATCAACGAAACATCCGAAATGCGTAACATTTTTCACCCTGCCCATGACCTTGCTTCCCACATTTAAGTCGTTCAAGTCTTTCAGACCGGTAGTAAAATAGGCCGTTTGCGAAACTTCCGTTCTAAGATCGTAATTCAAAGGTTTCGAATAAGCCTCGAAAATGAGATTTAGAGTTTCTCTACTAGCGTTCAATTTTTCTTGAAGTTGCTGAAACTCACTTTGAGCGGATCTGATTCGATTTATAAAGTTTTGTTCTCCAATATCGATGATTTTCAGTTTTAAATATTTTAGCAGGTTCTTCGCTATGTCATAGGATTCGGGATGGATGTACGTTTGATCGAGCTTGGTGGTTTTTGGATTTTTGTAGAAATCTTCTATCGACGAGGCATTAGTCGGACCGACCCGTAAGAAACCGGCGCATTGTTCAAATGCTTTGGGGCCAATGCCGGAAACTTCTTTCAGTTGAATACGAGCAACGAACGGTCCGTTATTTTCTCTATATTTGATTATTTCGCTAGCACGTTTTTCTGTGAGCCCTGCTATCCGTCTACAAAAAAAATACCTATATAAGAGATTACTTGAAACTTTTAACTAATAATAAGTATAAAGGGAGTTACTGAAATACATGTACATATTAAAAGTAACAAATCTCGAAAAACGAATGGCACCAATTAGCATTTCATTTTAAAATTTACCAACGAGTCTCTACAAATGAGTTTCTGTTTTTCCGACCATTATTCTACCGTAGAATTTATTTGCTTATTTGTTGAAGCGAACTATACATATACACAAAATTTATGATAAATACATTTTAATTAAACAGTCACCCAATAGGCGTTTTCGCATCTACCGATACCGACACGGCGCGACATCAACATAGCGCCGACACCGACACGATACCGGCAGAATATTTTCACATTAGTCGGCACAGCACCCGGCTGCAACTCAGCGGTTCAATGCCAACTGAGCGCGTCCCCGGGGTGGTGGATGGGAGGATTTTCCTGGTTAGTGGTAGACATGAGCGAGCCCAAAAACTCTCAAAATCTTCTGCGAAGGCTACCGCCGCGAACCAACTCCCCCAATCTAAGGTATAAGGTAACGTTCCGATGGATGAATTGTCGCAGAGGTGAAAGCGGTAGCCAACGTTCCTCTGAGGGTACCTGGCGACATCCAATTGTATCTAGCCTTTCCGGCGTATGGGGGGGGGGGGGCTCTGCGTCGGTGCACCCTTCTTTCCCTAGCTACTCATGAAAAACTTATGGATCCAAACCCACACAAATCTAAGGAAAGTTGACGTCAATGCTCACCTCCAACAAAGGAGGCTGGTCAGTGAAGTTCAACTCCAGCGCAGGAGACTGAACAGCGACATCCACCTCCAAAATACGAAGATGGATATCGTAGTTCATCTCAATACGCCCTCGCTCCAAACCCAATCTAAGCGGCCCAATCAAGTATTTGGGTAGCGACGCTAGTTCTGCCTCTACAAGAGGCCAGAAACACGACGCAACCAAGGACAAGAAAAGGTCGCGATCGGTTACAACCCCTCCCCCTTTCAGAAGAAAGGATGGTCAAGCACTAACCTCAAACACTGCCCAAACTTCAGTAGCGGATCGGTAAGCAATTAAAGAGGTGACAATTACATAATGTAACTTGTAATACAAAAAGAGTGGCTACGGCAACATTATGCCGCCGCCTTGATGAGCTGCAAGATACAATAGCACTTAACCTGTGAATAAATTGTCGACCATGTATTTTTATTATTAAATAAATAGTACATTAACATTTCGAAAGTTTTTTTCTGTTAATATTCTTAATTGATAAACTGTGAACGTGAAAATCGTTGTGAATCTCTTCGGTGTCGAGCTTGATCGCGCACATCAAGCTGCCAATATTTGTGGGCGTTGCCAGATCTGGTCGAATTATGTGAAAACAGGTATTTGTGATTAAACAACCAGTAACCCTGGATAATAAAAAACCAAAATTGTAGATCTAAAAAATCTAAATGGTTCTATTTTTAGCTTTCCCAGCAACCAACAACCTAGGAGTGCCATGTAAATTCCTAGGAAATGGCACACCTTCCCAACTCCGATTTAACTGGGGTTAGGATGGAATATGCCATCTAGAGGGAAAAGAAAACGTTAAACCCGGCATCTGCACACCTCCCCTTCGACGCAACCACGCCACCACCCAGTAAAAAGTTGAAGGATCTCATTGAATACTGTCTGAACCAAAAGTTTGAACCGGTAATAGGTTGCGACTCAAATGCTCATCACTTCAGTTGGGGCAGTAAGGATAACAACCCTTAAGGCAAGTCACTGTAAGATTATATAATTAGCAAAAATATTTGTACAGTAAATAAAGACAATACAACAACTCTCGCAGTCAAAACACTAATAGATATCATTTTATCCACAACTGGTATCTATAAATCAATTAAACTGGAAAGTGTCTAATGACATTTCGATGTCAGACTACCGCTAATTAATATTCAAAAAACTTGATGTTGTAGACCTTCACGTTATCTCGAAACCCTAGAAAGACGGACAGGGCAAACTATGCCCACCTTCTTTAAGAGGTTTTGAGAAAGGTGGAGGCCGAAACACCAAACAGTAACAATGCTTTGGAAAAGTACTCAAACACTATCCAAAGCACAATAAACAATAGAAAGTTGAAGTATTTTCAGTACGTTAACGTAAACGTGAACGTCAACAGAAATATAATGTTTACGTTGAAGTCCAAAATCTGAGTTGAAGTAGTGCCATGACATATGACAATTAATATCAGGATTTCTTCTTTCTCAAATAAAAAGAGGTTATTTTGTTTGCGTTTCGTAAATACGCCTGAGTCCGTAAGCTTACGTATGTACGTAGACGCGAAGGATATTTAAATACGCATGCTTAGATGTCAATTATCACGTATACGTTCATAGCATCACTTCAACTATCTAATGCCTACAAGAAAACCTGCCCCTCGAGGCTCGTCCAACACGATCAGATGACTACTGCATGGTGGTGTCACGGGTTGGATCACCTCAAGAAGATAACTAGTACCTAAATCTTTTAATAAGGAAAGAACCATAAAACTCAAAAGTGGACTGGGATACTTACAAATCTCACCTCAAATACAAAAAAATTGTTAAACAAAAACAGAGAGATATCATCAAACTTCTGCTGTCAACACATTTTCTTGACTCGGGTCATCACAGATGTGGAAGACTGGGCAAAGGAAGAATACAACTTATCTGTCTACGTTTGGAAAAATGCAAAACACATTGAAAACGATATCAAATTAAATGGGCATTATCTAGCTTCTTTTCTTTTAAATCGCCTGACGGTATCTATCCAGCCCTACTTCAGTGGAATCTGGAAGAACTCACACCGCACCTGGTGGTATATTCAGATCCTCGTTGGCTCTGAGGTATATCCCCAAAAATGAAGAGAGATAAAGGGAGTCATCGCATGTACTTATAGGGCCATTGTATAGGACCTATGCTAACATATTGTGTAGTTGTCTAGAAAATGAAAACACAAAAATTGACAAATTCGAAGAACATAACAGGTGCCATGAAAACCACATCAACTAGAGCCATGGAAGTCATTCTTAATCTCACTCCCCTTGATATTTACATCAAGGAGGTTGCTATGATGACAATGACACGTCTCCGCACGGTTGGATTAGAACATGATGTAGGTTCTGGTGAGGCGAGACGTCGCTTTTGGCAGAAGGCGCTCGATACGCTCCCACTGGTTCAAGCGAATAGACTCCATCTCACCGAGATATATCTTCTATGAGGCATGTAAAGTTATAACAGAGCAAATAGAAGAACCGGAAGTGGTCAGTAGGATTCATATCGACGGTTGTAAGAAGAAACTATTAATACTCCAGTATTGTAACTTCGCAGGAGAGTCGTTTAAAGATCGGATTTTTCGCTTAATACATTGTTTCTCATGACCCATCCGAAAGTAAAAATGCGCCATAAAACTGGCTAATTAAAATTAAACATACATAGATCGACGCAGAAAAATCAGCCGATTCCGATGGTACAAATAACTCAAGTTTGACCAAAATGATGTATTAGTCATTTCTCCTTTCAGCCGTTGATACCTACACAGACTGTTCTAAAACACAACAAGCCTCGGGATGTGGAACATACTCTAGATCCTTAAACTTAAACATAAAATGGGCTGTGAGTAGTAGTGGGTGTAATTCAAACACAGCTCATTGGGATTTTCATAGCAGCAAAAGAAATCCCTAAAAATAATATAAATGGAAGAAATATGCTCGTCTATACATATAGCAGACAAGCACTACTCACCCTGGACAGATTACGAATTTATTCAGGGTTAGTACTAGAATGTCACAAAGCTTTGACCGAAGTATCCATCAACAATGAAGTCGACTTAAGATGGATCAAAGGTCACACCACATCGAAAAGTAACCGTCTTTCTGATTCACTAGCCAAGAAGACAGCCAGCCAAATACTTTTTGCACCTGGCCCTTCTATTAGACTGACAACATCGGTAGTAACAAACCTAATTAAAGAATATTCCCTTGTAAAATTCAAGGAAATATGGAATTAAACAAGAAGAAGTAGACTTACCAGGGAGCTTTTAAGTTATCCTGACAACACTGTGGCAAACAAATACTTGATTATAACTAAATAGAATCTGCGCCTGGTCACAGGCAATATAACTGATCATTTCCAAGTATAGAAGCATCTCCATATTATGAGGCTGTCAGAATCCGTACTCTGCAGAGGATGCGAATAAGAAGATAAGGGGGGTGCGTTGGCTCAGTGGTTAGAGTCATGACTTTGAGATCGGAAGGTCTCAGGATCGAATCCCACCGTTGGCCGGGATTTTTTCATTTAATTTAATTATTTAAAATCAATTCTGATCCTTGGTAGGATTCCCCACTCGACCATTCACTGTTGGGTTCTAATTAACAGTGCTGTTCCTAAAGTGGCGCTGGGAAACAGTAACAAAGCCTCATCGGGCATATCCTCTACGATTGTCCGACGCTCTCATTTATTAGAAGATTTGTGTTACAGATACAGAACTACATATATTTCAATAACACGCTGTATTATTTAACCCTTAATCAGGCACACTACACCTGAAATATGTCTGAAGAAAGAAATATATTAACATTTATTTCAGTAAAATAAATAAAATGCAAAAGCATTACATAGTTTCTGATAGTTTAAAAAAATATATGTAAGGGAACTACTTTTCCTAATCCTGACAAAAATATCATATATGAGGATTATATATTCTAAATTTTAGGTGGAAATATAGTTCCCAGGGCCTGATTAAGACCTCTTTCTGACGAGAATACGCGTATCCGAGATTCAGGTTGACCATACATTCAAATGGACCTATTCACACGGTATACAGTATCGCGATACGGAATTTCTGTATCCAGGCACCTTCAGCCGCGAAGGTTGAATGCGTATGCTGCATACAGAATTACTGTTACGATATATGGACCTTTTCAGACATGGATACTGTTGCAACGGAGATTATATCATAGGCGCAGGATTTTTCAATGGTAGGTATCCTGAGTGCATTTAGTTTAATCGATTAAATTGTATGAGAAAACATTATTTTGAAAATTTTCCTATAAAGCACCATTTTAAAAATTATGTTTAACGATTAAATTAGATGCACAGAGGTTTTTTTTTAATTATTTCAAGAATAAAACATTAGCCTAAACTACAGAATCTTATATTTTTCACTGTCTTCTCTACTAATGTTGTATGTCCAGTTTTTTAATATTAAAGTAATGTACTACAGATGCCTTTGCGTTTATGAGTTTCGACTTTATTATTTGGAATATTGTTTATTATTATCTATCCTCTTCGTCAAAAAACCTCCAACCCTGTGTGTTTTGCACATTTTTATTTTTCAAATAAAATTAAAGTTTAAAGATGTAAAACACTCAGGTTTGTTTAAAGTTTCGGTTTAGTAAAATATACGCTTTTTGTAAATAAATTTAATATAAATGTCAAAACTAAATAAATTTAAAAAACATTCTGATTACCTAATTTGTTATACTATGTATTACTGGTATTACTAAGCGCTATTTATTTATTTATTTATTTATTTATTTATCTATAAAGTAGTGATAGAGAATATAGTTTAAGACACTGAAAAATTTATTAGTTTGATGTAGCCTAATCCTTGTTCATGGGATCCACAACACGCAGATTACTTTTTCTTAATATACAATGCCACGCATAAATTGCGCGTCATATACGATTTTTCTTTTCTAAATGATATGGATAATTTTTTATTTTGCCATCATTTGTTCATTCAAAAATGATAATGAATGACATGCAAATGGTCAATCACGTGACTTTTTATCAATGTCAAAATTGATACATATACCACAGTATAATACACTCTTCTAGATCCATAATTCAAAAATCTTTGCACGGCACTGCGTTTAATTTAGTACTGATTGAAGAGATGCGTGAATTCGATACAGCAGCCCGTTTTTAATCGCGATTCTGTATCTCGCATACATTATCCTCGTCTGAAAGAGGTCTTAGGGTTAATAACGCCTGCGGCTCATAGGTAAATTTGCCTATTCGCTTTATACACTAGTTGAACTACCTGAGTAGTGCCTGTGATGCAGTATTTAAATCAACACCAACAAAACTGACACATTCAGAAACGACTTCATTGAGTGCTTCGTCTAAAGTTTTCTTCTTAAGGTCGTGCTGATACATGCCTACTCCTATATGCTTTGGCTCGACTTTAACTAATTCAGCCATGGGATCTTGAATTCTCCTTGCCAGTGAAACTGAAAGAGATTATTTTTTATTAGAAACATATGCAAACTATTTATTATTTAGTATGTGCCAACAAATAATTTACCTGCACTAATTATATTTGTATCCATATCATTAAATTCCTTTTTTGCTTCAGGACTACATGAATATATCGAAGCGCCATCTTCGCTAACAATTGTATATTTTACGTCTCTAGGATAGAAATATTTGTCTTTTATTAATTTCGTTAACCATTCTTCAGTCTCTTTGCTTGCTGTAGCATCACCGAGTGATATAAGTGAACAACTGGAAGAACAGTAAGCAATCTTTTAAATCTAATTAAAAATGATTAGTAAACATTTTGTGAATATTTGTGGATTTGAGAAGAAACCTGAACGTTGTCTGGCTAGAAATACCATCTAAAATTTCCGTTAGGAATCTCGACAATCAATCTCTTGACAGCTTGACGCAGGCGCGACTTCTCCATAAGGTCATTCGGTCAATGACCCACCAAATTTATTTCAAACAATTTTTAATATTTAATAATAAACTCTTTACAAAAATGTAATTACATTTTTATGCAAAAACTTCAATTATTACCAGTGTAGCCAAGATTACTAATGACTAATAACAATTTATTCCTATACTGCCCGCGCTTGGCTCGAATTGGCCGTATTTAAAATTGACCTCATGGACTCTAATGCAATTCACAAGAATAAATGTAGTGTAAGACAGAGATATAACAGCATATGCCCCGCTCTGCAGCTGAAAAGAGACAAGTAATCGTCGACGGCCCTAGACCCAAAATGCAAAATATATATGACACGTGTTCTGCAGTCCTTACGCTTAGAAACTTACGCAGCATCGCATCATAGTTGAAAATAAAATCGCAAAGACACGGTGGTTTACGTTTTTCAATTATTGTTTCGTGTTGTGTTTCGATGCGTGGATTTTTGAAAGTTATTTTTTTTTACGATCTATTTAGATATTGTAAAGCGGCACATTGACTTTTGAAAGACGTTTAGAAATAAAAGAAAAAGGACGCCCAAAACCTCTTCTAGATCTAAAACAAACCATAAAAGACACAGGGAAAGAAATTAACAGGTATTTTAAGCCAACTATGTACAACATTTCTGATTGGATTTGTGGATGCAATGTAAAGAACGCGTTTTTTTGTTTTTCCTGTACTTTGTTTTGTACTAATGATTCGTTATGGACTCAAACTGGCACAACGGACATAAAATATTTAAAAGAAAATGTGATAAAACATTCTTCTTTTATCATACATATAAACAATGCTATGAATTTCGGTAGCCTTGGACGCGTTGATATAAGAATTCAATTAAGTAGTGCTTATCGTAAATGTATAAAAGACCATAATGCTAAGGTAACGCAAAATAGATATATTTTAGGCAAAATTATTGACTGTGGAAAGTTCTGCGGTTCATTTTAACTCGCTTTACGGGGGCATGATGAATCAGAGTTATCGGAAAATCCTGGAATCTTTCGTGGATTAATAGATTTTGTTTCCAAAACAATACAGAACGAATTGCTAGAGTCTATTTTAGCGGTTACACAGGAAAAATTAAAGAGCGAAGTTGAACGCTCTAGGTTTGTAACTATTCAAGCCGATGAAACTACAGACTGCTCCAATAAAACACAACTAGTTTTTTGAATTCGGTACGTGGAAATGGAAATATTCATGAAAGATTTTGGAAATTTATTTAACCTAAAATTAATGAAAACCCTCAAAAACTTATCGCACAATGTTATGATGGTGCCTTAGTAATGAGTGGCAATATTAGAGGTGTCCAAAAAATATTAAAACAAAATATCTATCAGAACACTTTGTGCACTGTTATATGCGCACCAATTAAACCTTGTACTTCAAAAAGAATATTTCTTGCCAATTTACATGCATTTTCATCTTTTTTGGAAAATTTCCTTAAAGAACTTTAGTAGTCAATAAAAGATTACCAAAATCTGCTCCCACCAGATGATATTTTAATAGCAGATTTATTGAAACTGTCTACATATAAAAAAATGATTTAGTATATTTTTTGGAGGAAATAATGGACACTGAATTTTACACAACTACAATAAATCAAGCAGGGGGTTTAAAGACATATTTAGAACATGAACATTTTTAATATTGGTTGAAATTGTTTCACTCTATTATGCCACATGTTGAGATACTTTTTTGTCAATTGCAAACATCAAATATTGATGCTTTTTGATTGGAAAATGTATAGAACATTTTATTTCTATAATACAAAAAATTCGAGATAGTGTTATCTCTATAGAGCAAAATGATAATTTAGGAGCGAGTAGCTCTAAAAGAAAACATCCAGAAGACTCCAAAAAAAGAATTTCTTTAGAAATATGTGACATAATTTTGTCAGAAATCCGCTGTCGTTTTACTTATACAGAACATTTAATAGTATCACAATTAATTTTGCTTATTATAAAAATGAGTTTCCTGAAGACATTTTAAAATGTGTTAAAATTAATTATGAGATGATAAACGTTTCTATGCTCAAATCTGAATTGGAAGTTTTATATAGTCGTGAAGATTTTTATAATAGTGTGGGTGTTGTTGCCATTTTACAGCTGTTGTTGGAAATGAACCTGGGTGAAACGTTTTCGGAAAGTCTAAAATTATTGGAGATTTTATGAAAGGTGCTTTTCGACCCTAAAAAGAATTAAGACTTTTCTAAGAAACACTCAGGGAAAGCCAAGATTAAGATCTTTAGCAATGTTAAGTATCGAAAACCTTTTGTTATAAGTATTTTTAATTTTAATGAACTAGTCATTGAACATTTCTCCAACCAGAAGGACAGAAGGATCGATTTAATTTATAAACAATGAACGCATAAACTAAACAAACGAGAAACACGAGTGTGGTGCACAGTGAAAAGAGTGCAGTAAAGTTATCGTACTGAAGAGCGTCTGAGCGAAACGTGTGCAGCGTATCGGAACCATAAAAACAAGCAAACCATCAGTGATTTCTCGTAATTACATAAAAAGAGAGTGATTTATCCTGAGAATTTTCTCAATAATAGGTATTATTATAACAATTGTCTAATGGATATCTCAAGGGATGTGTCTTTTATTTGTTCTATTTAATAGTCAAAAATATAAAAAATTAATAAAAATTAGTTTATGTTACCCTCAAAAAAAAAATGTTCTAGTTCGGGCCAGTGCTGTTTTGCCTGCGGCATTATCCACCAAAATTTTACCCACCTCTACAATAACTCACGAGCCGCGCCTGGCCTGACGGTAAGGGCACATGTCCAGGAAACGTGATGATATGGGTTCGATTCTCGCCAATGCCAGGTTTTTTCAAATCTACAAATATTTGTTTTCACATTGGGATTCGGAGGTGGTCTTAATAATTCGTAGGGGGATTGTTGAGATTTGTTTCCGAATTTTCAAATTTATTTAAAGTCTTAATGTCAGATAATTCTGACCTTTCGGATTTTCGATTGTGCGATCTACGAAAATTCACAAATTTCAGTAAACATTTGTCTATAAAGGCTGTTTTCCGCTGAGCGTATCTAGAATGTGATGATATTTATTGCAACAAATTTTGTTTGACATTTCAATCTAGTTGTTTACAAATTTAGTGACAGTTGTCAAATAATATACCTGATTGTTTGTAAGTTACATAAGTGTAAAGTAATCCTTTGCCAAATAAGGAATGGAAATGAAATTTTTACAATTTGAAGCGGAGCTTAAACCGCAAAAAATGTTTTTAGGAAATTAATCGAGTTCTTGGAGATGGTGATAAAGCGCGTTCTTTCGCTACCGTAAAGCGGTTGTACAATGAATTTCAACGTGGTAAACTTTCCTTAGATGACAGTTTTCGAACTCCTAAACCAAAACCAAAAGTTAAAAAAGTATTGAAATTATTCGGACCGTAATTAAAAAGGCACATTACTGTAAAAAACATTCAAGTAACTTTAAAGATTGATGTGAATGTTCCCCTAAATTTTAGCTCAATAAGAAAACCGTGCGAAATGGCGCAGATCGCTTTGACCGTGGTTCATCTTGTTTGTACATAACAGATGATGAAATAGGGTATACTGTTATGTTCCCGAAAAAAAAACAACAATCGTCAGTTGGGGTCTTTGAGAATGAGACGGCTACAACAAAAGCCGAAACAAAAAGATGGTCGACATTTTTTTTGGAATTACTGGCCATGTTTCTACTATAGCACTGGAGGATAGAAGTGCTATTCATTTAGAATACACTACAGTTTGTTTGCCACAGATTCTCTAAAAGGTTCAAGGAAAACATCCAAAAGGAAGGATCATCTTGCATCAAGATAAGGCTTGGGTTCACACTGCTGTTCGAACAAACGAGTATTTGAATGCACAAAATATATAAATAATAGGTCATTCACCGTCTAGTCCAGACCATTGAGATAGAATAAAGAGAAGATGCTAGGATGATGCTAAATTGTCCGCACTTTTGTATTACATTTTTACGTCAATGTCAAATTCGAGATAGTGTAGCTGATTAGTTTTGGTGAGAATAAATGCCATTTTTCGTTAAATAGCTTCATATAATGATATAAAATTATTTTTATTCCGTCAGTCTTCAAATATAAAATTATTGACTTCAAATAAATCAAAGTACGACAAAAGTTGTCATTTTGATTACACTTTTCCGTCACTTGAAGTGCGTCCATTTTCTCATATCGCACAATAGTGTTTATGTCGTCTCTACTTTATTCTATCTTGATGGTCCAGACGTAACACGTTGACTTCTTATTTCCTGGGACAAAGAAGATAAATTACATGGCTTACATTTTACATTGGCCAAAGAAACGGTTGATACCTTTAAAAATTAATTAAACAAACTACAGCCAGACTGGAGAAAATGTTTTCAAGAATTGTTTTCGCGGATACAAAAATGCATTGACTGTGAAGGAGAATTTCTTTGAAACATTATAAATAAATGTGTTTTTATAAATAAAATGTGTTTTACTTCCTAGACTCAACCGAAAGAGAATGCACTTTTAGGTATATTTCGTTGCCATGCCTATTTTAACCGGGGCTGGTTATAAAATAACTAATAATAAAAAGTGAAACTGATGGAAAAACGAGTAGAGTTTTGAGTTGAAATTTAAACGGCATAGTTATAAATAACCTTTTCCTAATTTTAACATATTAAGTAACAACAAGTGTTAACATGATCTACTTATGCAACCAGTTACATAAAGTTGAACATTAGGAAACTGGTTTCAATAAACCTTTTTTGGTTTTAAAA